ATTATTATTTTGCTACCAAGTTTTTCCCCAAGGAACAGTTTTGGAAAAGTTTCCTGCCTCATGCTACACCTCGTTCGCTTGCCTGTCTTACAGCGGTGGAAGTTGCAGCTAAATCCTTATTCACACCTTCCTCCTTGGGAGCAATGGGTTTGAGGAGGTTTTTTAGTTTGGGTTTTTCTGCTTTAATGCTGTTCCAGCCCATGCTTCACCCTGACCGCTGATGTACTCCTAAAAGTTGTTTCACCCATACAAACTTCATTTTCATAAATTTTCGACGAAAGGAATATTTGATTATGAATGCAGATTAAGGCAGATTTTTTTTTTAATTATTTTCCTCTTTCTGCCCCCATTTCAGTGCTGTAAATAACACAAGGTGCCCCTAACCTTGCCGTCAGGTGGGTGTCTCCCCTGAGCTGTAAGTCACACGTGTTCAGGTGGAAGAAAGCCCGGCTGTCCAGTAGTTACGCCGAGAAAAGGAGACAAAGTGGTCTCTCCTGATTTATTTTGTGGTGAGCCCCACTCGTGGATCTCACTGTCAGAATGCAGGCTCTGGGTGTAATTAGAGTTAATGCAAATCAGGCAGAGACCTTTCCTCGTGCCAGGTCCCAGCTGATGGGATGTCAGCGACGGATCCGACGCCAGCCGTGCTAACTAGTCGTCACTGGGGTCGGTGACGCCTTCCCGGTGAACGAGGCAGGGAGATTCCTCGCTGTGAGTAGAATTCAGCGAGATAAAATTTTAATTTTCCACTGTTGACAAGATTGAGCTCTGTTAATATTCAGTAGGTTAAAGCGGTGGTATTCCAGCGAATTATTTTAAGTTTTTCACACTGGAAAAATGTAAGTGAATATTGTTGGCAAATGATTATTGATCTAGACAAGTGTGTTAAACGTTTCTTGGCAGCCCCGTATTACACTTACAATTTAGTTTAGTGACAGCTTTTATAAATAACCCTAAAGCAAACTCTTGATAGAAACAGGTTATCGTTTTTTCTTTTTAGACAGATTTTTACTGTAAAAGGCATGTGCTTGGAAATAGCCTCTCTGTATTTTGTTTCGTCAGCAGTATGTGCAGCCTATAATATCTGTTCTGCTAATTCTGCAAATTGCCTGGGTTTTTGTTTCCCTTTAGCTTCAAGTATTAAACGATGAAATATTGTGTGGCAGCAGACTGAGCCTGGCCAACCCTGTTTGGAGTCCATTTTGGTTTCTGTAGTAGCACTTACTAATAGAATGTGCACATCTTCTTCCCCGCTGTGCTCGGCGCTGGGGAGGCCACCCCTTGAGTGTTGTGTCCAGTTTTGGGCACCTCCAGCCAAGAGAGACCTCAAGGGGCTGGAGTGATCCCAGGGGCCTTTTCCAACCTGAATGATTTTATGATTCAAACAATCGTTGCAAAGAATCAACTGTTAAGGTTGACTTTTAGTGACAGTTCGATCAGAACCACTGTCCTTATTAAGAGAGTCTGTCTTAAAAATGCTGAAAACTCGTAAATGCAGACAGCACCCCCTGGGTTCACCACAGCGCTTGGTACTTTAGTCCTGCTTAGCAGCCTGGCTCAAAGAGTTTAAGTTTTCAATGTTTCATGCCATGTTGGGAATTTATATAAAAAAGGGGATAAACATGAAAGAAACTGAAACGTAAGCGTGGTGGGACGAGGTGCTCCCCTGGAGCACTGCTGAGCCGTTCTGAGGTACTTTGAGTGCCACCGTGCTTATTTAGCCCTCGGAGCTAACGTGGGCACACGAGGAGGAGGAGCTGGGAGGGGATCACGCTCCAGGTGATACAGCAGCAGCTCTGAGTTTACCAACCTGTGGATCTGCCATGTCCGCTCTTGCGTTACACGTGGGGCTTGTGTTCGAGTTCTAACTCATCCCTTGGTCAAATGGTTCAGCCACAAACCGTGTGGCATTTCCTGGGTGGAATTGGCTGTGTGACTTGGTTTACTTGTAATTGACTTTAAAGAGTCAAGAAGTCTGTCCGTTCATTGCCTTCCTTTGCTCGTCTCTCTGTTAAAATACTCTTTGCACCTATTCCTCTCTTTTCGTTTCTCACTTAAAGGTGAATTAACGCATGGACCTTCAGGTTTTTTTTATTTTGAATCATTCATTTAATTTACGGTTGGACTCGATCATCTTTGAGGTCTTTTCCAACCTTAATGGTTATATGATTCTAATTTTTATGTCAACTCTGATCATCTGTTGTTTTTTGTATTTTAGGTCATACCCTTAGATATAACACTGGAACTCCAGAAGCAGATAATGTCAGAGTTAGAAATTCTTTATAAGGTATGTAGATTTTTCTCATTTTCATTATTCTTGCTTGTAATCTTCTTAGAACAAATTTTAAAACGGGCTTCTCTTTTTCTTTTTTTTTTTCCTTTCTTTTTCCAGTGTGACTCGTCATATATCATAGGATTTTATGGTGCTTTTTTTGTAGAAAACAGAATTTCGTTGTGTACAGAATTCATGGATGGTGAGTTGTGTATTTAGTGTGCTTTTGATTGCTAAGTATCGAAATGGGAAAAATCACACAAAGATGTACTTTTCCAGAATGGAGCAAAATGTGGTAGTATGTCTTGAAAATGTAAAGTATTATTAATCTGGCAGGTAGTTTTGTCTTTTTTAGGAAAAAAAAAAAAAGGTTAGTATTTGGATTGTGTTATATTCTTTGTGTTATGCTTTATTTTCCCAAGTGTAACTTTGCCTACTTTTATTGAAAATGTAAATAGAACAGAAATAAATGCTAGCTTAATTTGTGGTTTGATATTGGAGTCTTCCATACAATCTGTCCTCGCTGACAAAACAGCTGTTCCTCACTTTTACTGTTTTGATAGCCAAAACAGATTTTTCTTTTAAAGAACTCTATTAACCCAATGTCCTATGTGTTTCCGGTGGAAATCGTCTCTTAATTGCAAGACAGGGAATTATTTTCCGACGCAGCTGTTGAGCGCTGCTGCACCGAGTGGCTTGTTGAGCGTGCTCTTGTTTCTCCTACGGTGAATCTTCAGACCAAGAGCATCCCTTTCCCTGATACTTGTCGCTACGGAGATGTATTAGTACTTTGCTTCAAAATCTTGTCCTTTGTGGCATTCTTGGAGGAAAAGTGTCCTGCTTGCAGCAATTTATAATCGTTGCTGCCCTCTGAGCATCAGTTGGGAGAGCATGCCTTGTGGCAGACACGGTCCCCTCGTGTCTCGCCCGCGGAAGGCGCCTTCACAGCGCTCACCTTCGAGTCGCGTTGCTGTTACGAGCAAGAGTCTGTTACTCTCTCCAGGATTTTCCTACGAGCCAGTGTTTTTGCCCTGTGCAGGCTTTTCACAAAGGTTCAGTTAAGGTGGATATAAAGCAGTAAGGATCTTGCAAATAATTTCCTGTGGAGGGAAAGCTTTCTGGCAGGAAAAATTTCCAAAGCCAAGTGTGGACCATTAAGCATCATTAAGTCTCTTCTTGCTTTTTGATGGGGACCGTGGATAAAGCCCTTTAGGGTTTTATGGTGCATTTTGTTTTCTCTGCCTGTTAAAATAGTCTGTTATTACTGTTAGTTCTCTCCTTTTACGCTTACTGCCCTTGTCCCAGTGATCACTGTGCCCTGCTTCCAAGTAGGAATATTCCTTCAGAAGAAGTATTTTATTTATTTGGCAAAGGCCTCAAGTTAAATTCTGTGCTTTTCTCATGCTGTGTGGCTATTAGCCATGTCTCTGTTCTGTCCCTGCTCTTGCACTCAGACTCGCAAGCCTGGGTTAAGCAGGAGTCGCGTGCAGGAACGAAGCATCTGCTTGTGCCAGGAACATACATCTGCCTAGATTTTACGTGCTCCTACGAATTCAGAGATTATTATTATTTTTTTAAGATGATGGACATGAACGCTTGCAGTTCTGACTTTTTGTTTGCAAATATTTAAGCCTTTAGGGTACATATCCCTCATGATGTCGCACAACGATGGTATTTATTGAGCATTTGGAGTTCTGCCGGAGATGACCCCTGCTCTGCCTCATGTTGTGCGCTCCTTCTGGCAGAAGGCAACAGCGATTGTTTAAAGGAAGAACAAAATGCAAATAAATAAAGGGACCTTGCTTTCTTTTCCCCCCAGACCTTCAATTTTGATGCAGGTGATGATTTAAAAAATAAAATAAAAAGATCTTTCTCATCCTGCAAATGAAAAGCTTTAACCTTGGCAAATTTTCAGCCCTTTTGACTGTCTTAGGCCAGTTGGTAATATTTCCTGAATCTGTATCCTGGTTGTGTCCTGTACCGTATAGGTTTTTTGACTTCCGAGTACACGTAGGGAAAAACACCTCTATAGTACCAGGTTGGTTCTTTCCTGGCACCTGCAGGCAAGAAAAAGCCAAATAACTCCCAACCCTGAGGTTGAAGTGACCTGGATCACCCTCCCACCTGCCACCTGATCTTAAAGATCAACTGAGGTGTGAGATCAGGTTTTCTCATCTTTGCCCTCTAACATTTATAATAAAGGTGATGTTCTTGTAAATGACGTTGGTGAAATGTCCTATTGCCTTTTACTTGCGTTGTTGCCTCTTTGCCTTTAAAAGCAGATTCTGAGGCTGTGCTGTCTACATAGAGATTTGGGAGCTAACGTTAGGGATTTGGAAATGTTTAGTACAGACTTTTTTTCTCCATAGGAAATGGCAGGTTTCCCCGATTGTTTGCAAAAAGATACTTCCCTTCATTTTTCAGTCAGTGCAACCTTTAGTGACATCTGTAATGGAAAGACTTAGCAGTTTGGTGTATGAAAATAGGTCTTTTTTTTGGTCCAAAACTTAAGGATGTGTTATAAGCATTAACAGGACACACTTGCTATATGATTGCCTTCTCTTTGGCTTTTGTAATGAGTGATGCTGCATCCTCTTATTTCCATTAAATGGTACTTATTTTTGCCTTCCAATACCTGAAGGGAACCCACAGGAAGGCTGGGGAGGGACTTTTGACAAGAGTGTCCAGCGATAGGACAAGGGGAAATGGGTTTAAGTTGAAGGAGAATGGGTTTAAATTGGACCTTAGGAAGAAATTCTTCAGTACGAGGGTGGCAAGACTCTGGAATAAATTGCCCAGAGATGTTGTGGCTGCCCCCTCCCTGGAGGTGTTCAAGGCCAGGTTGGACGGAGCCTTGAGTAGCTTCATCTAGTTGAGAGGCGTCCCTGGCCATGGCAGAGGGCTTGAATTAGATGATCTCTGAGGTCCCTTCCAGCCTAGGCCAGTCTGGGATTCTGTGATTATATTTACTTTTAAAACTGAGCTTCACTGTAAACCACAGACCGTGTGGACAACTTAAGAATAAACTTAATGAACACAGGATAGTTTCAATTACCCAAAATCAGAGCAACATCAGCGAAGACAAACCCATCCTCTATTTCTGACAGTAGAGACAGTGAGGAAAATGAGGGGAAAAAACAACCCCAATCATTAGAATAAGGAGTATAGTATAAACTATTGTATAATTAAGGCTGAAGGCTGGAGTAAGGCCATTGTGACTTCTTTGAATTGCAGCTTTTCAGAACAAATGGCTTTTACTTCTAAAAGCTGAACCGTAAGCAAAGTACAAGGTGTAGTTTTCTTAATTGCTGAGTATTGACCTAACTCTTTTCCCAGTGGCGTCGTCGGTGAAATCCATTTGCTGCCCTGAGAGCAGGGTTAGATCAGTGCTGAGCGCTTCTGAGAACCTCAGGCCTTGAGTAAGAAAACACATTCTTGCAAGTGACGTGTAACATGTTCTGCCTGTAATTTGCTGTTTGATCATTGGGAGGAAACTGGTGAAGAATCTAAGTAGTGAATCAGATACCATGTGGTGTGAGCACCGGCTTTTGGGGCCAAGGGTTACGATACTTCAGACTTTGACGACCACTGTTGCTTTTAGGGATGAGTTCGTTGTTCCTGACAGGTTACTTCAAGCCCGGTGGTTTTGAGTTCTGTGACTTCAGTCTTCTGGGAGGTTTTCTAACAGGAGTTGGAGTATTAATGCTGCGAGCAAAAATAAGTGACGTGGGTGAAAAGAGACTTGAGTTCTGTTTCATGTGTTTGTTCCGAAATTGAAGTGAGATCTCGAGGGGCTGGAGCGAGTGCAGAGGAAGGTGACGGAGCTGGGGAAGGAGAATAAATCTTCTGATGAAGAGCGACTGCAGGAGCTGGGGCTGTTGGGTTTGAAGAGGCTGAGAGGAGCCCTCCTCACTCTACCAGTACCTGCAAGGAGGTTGTGGAGAGGTTGGGGCTGGTCTCTCCTCCTGGGTAATGAGCGACAGAAACCAGAGGGAACGGCTTCCAACTGCACCAGGGCAGGGTTAGACCGGGCATTAGGGAAAATCTTTTCCCAGCAAGAGCGGTCAGAGCTTGGCACAGGCTGCCCGGGCAGGGGGTGGAGTCCCCACCCCTGGAGGGGTTTAAGGGTCTTTGAGATGTGGGGTTGGGGGAGATGGGTTGGGGTGAGCTTGGCAGAGCAGGGTTAGTGCTTGGGCTCGATGATCCCAGGGGTCATTTCCAACCTGAATGATTCTATGATTCTGTTCAGAGTTTGGTAGATTTTTAAGGTCAGTTATTTCTGACACAGTTATTGTTATATCATTGGTGGTGTTTTTATTAATAACCAAGGCCTAGAAAGCCCTTGTGGCTTCAAATCTAGGGCAGTATTTCATGCTGTATTACCTAACCACCTTTTGTTTGTCCCTGCAGGGGGTTCTTTGGATGTTTATAGAAAAATTCCAGAACATGTACTTGGAAGAATAGCAGTAGCTGTAAGTACTTTCTTTTTTCATTTTCTGATTGTGCATGCAATGCGGCTCTTATGGGAGTATGGCCGTGCCCCCGTGGGACACGGAGTCATCTCCAGGATCCATGTCCTCCTTGTGCCTGTGTGAAAGGGGGATGTCCTTCCTGTCTCGTGCTCTTCCTAACCATCCTGTGTGCCCAAAGACACCAGGGCTGAGGGAACCTTTCCTTTGGAATGACCAACACATGAGTTGCCAGAGGCTCAGGAAATGTAAAAGTCTGTGTTAAACTGAATGGGGTGAGAACATGAATTTGCTGGAGAACCGTGTGGTTGTGTTTCTTCATATCAGCCCTTGTAAGGATAAGGAGGGGACTGAACTTCTTATTTGGCACAAGCCAGGCCTGACAAAGGCTACCTGGGTGCGGGCTGCTCTCCCACCCTGTGCTGGGGCCCTTCACGCGTGAGCAGGCACGGCAGGGAGCTCACACTCATTTTTAGGGGTGGTGGGCAGGGAGCTGGGAGGAACTGGCTCAGTGTCTACTCAGTTTGGTAGCAAGGTGTTGGCAGTGGGATCCGTAGAGCACCTGGCATAGCCCGTCGTCGTGTCTCAGCAGCGTTCAGTGACTGCGTTGTTACGAATTCACTAGCCGGGATTGAAATCTCAAATTACTGAACAAGAGAACGAAGAAAAAAAAAAAAGTTCCGTATTTTGCCACAGCTGAACACAGGGTAAATGACCAATGCCTTAGTGGATATCTCACAAGGGAGACAGATACTGCTAAACAATTGCTAAATATAAGGAGCTCTTTGATAACTTAAGCAGTTTAAAGCATAACAAAGTTATTCTATCATGTGCCATTTAATTAAGTGCTGGGTTTTCACATTCATTATACATCAAGCTGACAATTTAAATCCTTTAATCCAGCGCAGGCAGCTATTTAGTCTCTGTTCATTGTAATTCACAGCTCTACTTTCTCTTAATTTGTGTGGCCTGCCCAGGGTGATGAACATCCTTCTCTGATGCCGTTTCCTCTAAGTAGCTTCAAATCTGCTCATTATATAGCCTGGCAGTTTCTTATGGAATTTGAATGCTTTTCACCTTTAGTTCAGAGTAAAAATGTTTCATCTCTTCTTCCCTGTGGAACAATGAGTAAGTTGCTCATGGTGTCCTCGTATTCCTGATGCCGAGTAGCGTGTGTGTGGTGTGATAGTACTGAGACTGGCCTTCAAGAATTTCTCCAGGTTCCTGTTCCTTCTCCTTTGCCTTGTCTCACTTCACGTCGCGTACTTGATACGTCCACCCTAACTTCGCTTATTGTTTCCTTCCTTGCTCTTGTCCCTGCCCCAGTCCACCTGGCTTGGTATTCTGCACATGTTCTCTTCCAATTTTTCACTTGGCCATAATGGTGATGCTTCAACCCCATCTTTTATGTCTTGATATGTATCTTTTTTTGCTCACCTGCTGGGTCATCTCTTTAAAAATCTGTTAGTTAGTGAGTATGACTCCGTGACATGGACGGTGAGCTGATACTTAACTTGTTCTAGTTATTTTATTTGCTGCTTTAGCGACCTGTGCTGTGCCCGCTGCGATGCAGGAGGTCAGGAAAGGGGTGAACAGAGGAGCAGGTGCCCTCAGAGAAGGAACTCACCCCCTTCTCCTGCTTCTCCATAACAGAAGGTGTGCGCTGAGGCTGAACCAGCACTGACAGCTTCCTCTGCTGATTTTTTTTCTCACTTCACACGATAGGCTTGTTGGAAGGAGGCTGTGAAAGCCTTTGTTTTCTCTAGAATTTGTCGGGGGCAGCAGGAACGGCTCCTTCCAGGCTTCGCAAATGGTTACGTTGCACCTTGGTCTCTGACATTTCAGCGGAGCCCAGCAGCCCCGTTTGTGGGTTGGGGCACCTTGTTGCCAAGTACCGTGCAGAGACACCGCAATTCCCAGCCTGAACAGCTTAAGAGGATAACCCCAAATCTGGAAGATTTCTGTTCGTGAGAAGGAGAATGTCAAACAAAGCTAGAGCTTGCAGGCATGGATTTGGTGGACAGATTCTGGAGCTTCCGTAGTCTTTTTTCATTCCCCCCCCAGTTTGTGTGTTTTCTTTTTTGTAACACATACACAGAGTCAGTTGTTTTTTATTCTCTGGAGACACATATGGTGCACTAGTCTATTGAAGCTGCTTAATAGTATGTGTGACCTGCACATCTGTTAACTAGAATATCCTTTTTGGTATATTTGTTGAAGTTTTTAAGCTTCCAGAGGAGAAGGATGCAGGCATGTATGGACATTTAGCAGCATCCCAGCATTCCTCTTGCTCCCACTTCATGATTTTCTTGCTTCCTTTCTTGTTACACGAATTCAAGCTGCATGCAAAGAGATGGGCTCGCAACCTTTAAAAATGATTGTCCTGCTCACAGCAGTGAGCGCAAAAGGCACAGGAATTTCCAGCTGGTCTAGAAGAAGACGCGTGTCCGCTCGACACGGCAAAGGGAGCATGTTGCCCCCAGCTCCACTTGCTCAGTTAAACACCAACTTGTACTCAAGGTCATTTCCTTGCACTCTGTGATCTCCACATGCTGGGGCTGAGCTACCTGAGACATCCCTTTCTTGACACCCCTGGTTTTCTGTAGCCAAAAGGATGGGATGGTGTGGCTACTCGTTTCCTTGAAATGCTGCTATAAATACTTCCCAGGTCCCTGCAGTGCACACGAGCAGTCCCTGCTTTCTTGCACTCTCCCTTTCCAATCAGACCTTCTCGTGCTGTGGCAGGAACGAGAGGAGAGTTTTGTCTGCTGAGACAGTCAAATGTTTTCTCGTGGTGGCAGTTGCCACTGTATTTTTTCTTACCTGCTGAGAATTAAACTGCATTTCACAGAGTCATGGGGAAATATGTGCAGTCTCTACCCCACGGCATTCTTCTGCATTCTTGTTATCCATTTCCCTTTGAAGAAGCGATCGCCACTAATTGTGACGGCCAAACAGCTTTCCAGCCAAAATAACAGGAATGTGTTGCCGCGTGCGATACCCTTCTCTCTTGGTTATTTCTTTGAGGAGTAAAGGGTAGAGGGGAGGTTTGATACTAAAAGTAAAGCATGGCAGCGGAAAGAAATCCTTAAAGGAGGACAGCATTTGCCAGGTTGTGGGGAGAAGGGCTGGTTTCTTGGGGGCAGGATAAAGTGGTAAGAGAGAGGTAGAGTCTGCTGAGACTTGAGGCCCGAGAAGCTGGAGGCATCTCTGACTTTGTGACAAAATTCATCCTGGTTGCCTGTATGAGGCCCTGTCAACAAGAAGGGCAAGTCTCTCTTCTTCCTGGTGTTCTTTATTTGTGTGAAGGCCTGATATATTTTTCCAAAGAAGTAGTATGTCTTGGGAACCCCAAAGTGATGTTGTGGCCACTCCTGTTTTCGTTCCTTCTTTGGGTGTGCCGATGTAAAATCTATTCTACCTCTGCCTGCCACTTCACGCAATTTTCTTTTTTTTTTTCACTTCAATTTCTGAAGCAGTGACATTGTGCACTGTATTTTGAGTGCTAATGTTGATTGAAGTTCTCCCTGAAAGGATGTGCACTTGAACTGTCAAGAGAGTGAATGATTGACAGCAGGTAGAAGTACTTTTTGTGTCAAGGCTTTGTCAAGTCATTGTTGTAAAACCTACTTTACTGAATACCAATAATTCCTGCTAGGTGTTCAATCAAAAGATACTCTCTTCCAGCACCATTTTAGAATAATATTTAATACTTAGAGTCCTTCCCTAATAGGTAAGTGAATAACGGTACGTTACACCAGATTAGTCCATTTGGGGAGCTCCCGTGCCCATATTTACAGCCCAGGATGAAAGGAGAAACTCATTTCATTCCTTTGTATGCTGATGCTGGAATCTGAATATGAGAGTTTGTTTAATACCGTGTCTTTTATAGCTGCTTATTCAGCACATGTTCCGTAATAAAGGTGTTTAATAACTCACAGCTGTTGAATTTTAAATTTATTTTCTGTAGGAAATGTTTCCATTTTTTCTATGGCTTGAAATGAGTATTTTTTAATGGTTTTAAAGATTTAAAATAGTCTAAGTATATGTTTAATAATCGGAGAAGTTTACTGTTCTCAAAACCACTTTCTCCATTAGAAGAAGCATGAAATGTTGCACCCCTTTATTTTTTCTTTGCATCCAGAATTTTGCTTTTTTTTTTATTATTATTACTACGTAAAAATGCTGCATAAGAAGAATTCCCCTGATTTGCTTTTTGAAAGGCCAACATGAACAAGGCCACAGCACTGGGCGTGCAGAATTTGTCTTAAGGCCTTTTGTTCCAGGCAGTTGCCATCTGAGGTAGTTGGGTACGAGGCGTGAGTTTAAGGCTGAGGAATTGCCACCTGGAGCAAGTTACCGGGGATCTGCAACCATTATTTGCTTTACAAAAGAGATTCAGATTCCACTGATGGTTTTGGTTACAGAATAAATTTTAGAAAGAGTTTCTAATGCAATAGGAGGGCTGAAAATTCCTGCGCTATCTGCTTTCACGTCGTATAATGTTTTTAGCACTTCTGCTTGATCACTGTAACAGAAGTAATTTCATTTCAGTCTGCTCGGACAACGAAAAGAATGTAATTGTTTTGTCTAAAAAACTCATACGACTTCATGAATATCGGAAATGCTTTATTGTTCCGGAGATGCACAAAGAGAGCGTCGCAGGAAAATGAATGGAATGTCAGCTCGTAGATGGAAACTTTCTAAAAAAGATTTGCTCTATTAAAAAAGCTGGCTGAGACAGCAGGGATGGTTTGGGTAAAAAGTAAGCAGTGCCAGAAATATATTTGTTGGGCTCGTAAAAGTAGTAAATCTAGGGGGAAGATTGCAGCGTTAAAATGTGAGAAGTATTGGGGTTTAATTACAGAAACAAAACCTGCAGCGAGGAGAACGTGTAACACCCAGCTGCTCTCTTAGGGGGTTCACCGAATGGCCTATTTTTAATTTGGGGCTGTTATGATCATATTGTATGTAGGAAATAAATAGTGACACTTGGGGATGAGCTTGTTGGTTCTGAAAGAGCCGTACGTGCGCGTTCTGCCCTGGGTTTGGGAAGTGTATCTGTGTTCGTGCTACAAACGCGTTTTCATTAAAATGTGTCTCATACGCAAGGCACTCCAACGCAACGCCGGGGTGACAGCGGGTTGGGTTTGGTTTTAACGGTTTAGGTAGTGTGGGAGGAGCAAATTCTGGAATAGCAGGCCAAAGTCTCCAGCCCGTGGGGAAGGGGCTTTGTCTCCCCTTTTTTGTGGTTCTGGCTCTGTTCTTCACCAGAACTTGTGTCTTTTAAGGACTCTCATCAGCTGAGATGTGTGGTGTTTCTTATGAGGGATGTTTGATACGTGCTGTTGCTTCTTCTTTTAAATTCAGGTTGTGAAAGGCCTTACCTATTTATGGAGCCTAAAGATTTTACACAGAGGTGAGTAACAGAGCTTTTCTGGTTTCCAGTTAAATACATTATTTTATTTTAACAACACTTTCTACAGGGACAGCAGACCATACTAACATCTGTTTTGATTCCAGTGGATTAATGCAGAGTGAATCTTACTCATCAGCCTTCCAGATTTTCTGATAAAATATTTTTACTGCTCTTCTCTTTTACTGCCCTCCCTTCTCCACTACAAAGAAAAAGACTAAAGAGAGAAATGAATTTTATAGCGATTTAGATGCTTAGGAGTACAAACAGGTGCCCAGTGGAACAATCAGCAAGCAAAATCAGATGTTTGACTAGTGTTGAAAAGGGAAGGTAGATAATGAGTTTTCTTATGTACTTCAGAAATCTCCTGTGACAGCCACAAGCGTTGCTAGAGTCTCAGATCTCTAAAATTGTGGCCCACTGTCCTCTAACGTGGCCATGAATAATTAAAGAAACTTTAAACCTGCTTGGATGTAAGCCATTTTGGAGTTTTGCTGCTGCCTATTCTCCTTCCTGAAGCTGATCTGTATTTTTTAAACTTCTTGTTTATTTCTTGCTTTTTGATGTTTTTACATCTTACTAAAAATATGTGCTGTGGCAAGTTAATTCAGATCTACTGGAACTTTCAAAAACAATGTCAGTTCTGGAAACATTGGCAAATGCTTTTTGAAGAACAAAGAAACCTCTGTACCACCACCCCAAGTTAAAAAAAAAAAAAAGAAAAAGGAGAAACTCATTACATTTATAATGTTTCTAAAGTGTCTGAAAGTAACTGCTCTGTTCCTAATGTTGCTAACAATACTGTTTAATTTAACCCATCTGCTCGCTCAGCCCGCGTGCACAGTTGGAGCGTGCAGTAACCGGCATCATTTGTGATTGAAAGAGAAGTGCGAAGTAGAAAGACACATGTAGAAAATGTTAAGTTGCAAACCAAATAGGTAAGACCGTGTCTTCTGGGGAAGAGGCTGAGGAGTGGGTGCGAGGCTCTGCCAAGGTAATGGGCAGTGCCCGGGAGAGGCGACCGGTGGGGTCAGCACGAGGAGTTGGGCACCTTGCGAGAGACAGGACATCAGCTTCCCTTCCTCCTCGGTGACACAGCCTCTCCTTCCTAGGCTGCCCCCAGAGCACAGGCTCTGTCCTGGATGGGAGAAAGAGAGCAGTGGCCAGAAAAGCAGGTAGAGGTTAAGTAGGGACCCAGCTTTGTTACCCGCAATTAAAGAGCGAGTGAAATGCGAAGGCTGTGGTACGTTTGACCCTGGGCTGCTGCTGGATTAAAAGAACAGAAATAACCCAGAGTCCATGAGCTACTCGGTGCAGACACAGGTTACCAAGGAGGCTTCGTTTCAGACGATGGTTTAAACTTTTCACCTACTAGCCTGAACGTTGCCAGGTGCAGAGATGTATCTGCTCCATCCCCGGCAGCAAGAGGATGAACGCTCTTGATGCCGGAGCTGTCACAGCAATTGTCAGAATAAATGTAGAAGAAAAAGCAACTGGAGTGTCAGTGGCTGAGTATAGCTCTGAATCAGCTGTGCAGCTTTGCCACACTTGTATAACACCCAAAAAGCAGATTTGAGTGGTTTTTTTTCCTTTTTAATTTTTTCCTTGAAGATTCTGGCCACCTACCCAATGTGATTTGGAGAGGGCATTGTGGTCAGGTGTAAATACTAGAACCGTACCGTTTTATTCTTCTGATGATGTAAATTTAGAAACTGGGTCTGATTTTTGCTTTGCCAGTAAAATAAAATCTCCCCTTTTTGCATGGGTTTTGTTGCCTTGATTGAAGAGCATCTCTGAAGTTTTGATGAATTATGTATGGTCCTTGCTATGATCTAAAGAAAAGCACAGAAACTGATTTTTTTCCTCACACTTCAGCTGTGGGTTTTTTGGCCTTGCTCTGTTGCTGGATTGACAAAGGTGAGAACAGCACTGCAGAATGCCACGGAGGGGATAACACGCGTTCCAGTTCTTCAAGGGGCTGGTTTTCAGGATTGCTCTGCACCTATTTTTAAGATACAGCACGAGTGTGTACTTCTGTATCGTAAAAATGCATAGAGTCATACGGTGCAAGAAGATGCTTATTTCTCAGAGTGATCTCCTTCAACTGTCTACTGGCTTTAATGCATCAGAGCTAAACGCAAGAAAATTTAACCCTGACTTCCTTGCTGTATAAAGCAGGACTGTGCAGGAAGCTCGCGTAGGCTAAGAAGTCAAGAATTTCCACCGTGGTGCTGACAAAGGTGGCGAAGCAGTCGCGGTGAAGAAGCCGTGTGATGCGGCGCAGCAACCGACAGTTTGTGGCTGGAACGCGGATTAAAGCAAAGGGAAGCAAACAATGAGCAAGTCTTTTATTCCAGATCAGACATTTCAGCAAATATTACAGCTTACCTTCAAAACAAACCTTGCAACTAATGAGGTGATAGCCGTGCATATTAATAAACCCGAAGCTGTAGTCATAGTCCTCACACCCACATCAAACGTAAACATAAGATTAACACCTACAGCACTTCTTTGGAAGATGTGAGAACGTCCCAATGATAAGTGTGCTCTTTTCCCCAGAGGATAAGAAGTAGAAATGGAAGGGTAATGAGAAATTAACTTAGATTTAAAACAGAATTAGCAATTAAACAAGTCTAATCATGTACAAAGTCAAAGTTTGTATAAAGACAAACCAAAATCTGTTAAGTTCAAGAATAAGTATAGACGGTGTGCATTTCATCCAGTATGTTTTTCTCTGTTCACACCTCCTTATTACAAGGAACATATGAAATAAATGTTACCCGCTTGTGTTTAATTGCACTGCTCTGGTTCCGTATGCATGGCGGCGTGTGTGCCGGGGGCCAGTATATATTGCACGATTTGGGCACCTTAGTTTCTGACCAGGTTTGAAATTTGTGTCAGATATTTGGAAGGGTTTTCTGGTTTGTGATGTCCGAGGTTGAGCAGAGCTGGTGATCTGGAGATCTTCTGGGCGGTCTGCTGGTTGCGTGGCAGCCTGTGGCAGAAAGGAGCTTTGTGCATCGCTCAGACCATCTCTTCCCTCCCCCGCCAAGGTATTCCTGTAGGAGGATATTCAAAACCTCTTTGCTTTGATGTGAGCTGCTGGAGCTGAGTAACGCTGGTTGGCAGGGACAGGCACGAGTGCAGGATGGACAACCTGGGGTCCCATCTTCACAGCAGTGATTGTGGTTTGCTGAGGATCTCACCAGAGCTGTCCAGAGCAGAGTATTTGGCTTCCTCCCTTCACTTCTTTTTAGCTTTGTGAGAAATAATCAGCGTTAGTGCCACATACGATGAAGCACAAACAGAAATACCCGGGGCGGGGGGTGTATACGTGTACTTACCGATATATCTGTGTAGCCAAACACACAGACGCACACTTGTGGACTGCTTAGGCTTATTTTTAAATAAGTAAATCAGCCTCTGCAGAAAGCATGTTGGTGAGGTCATTATGGCAGGAAAATACTTTCCTCCTTCCAGCAGCTTCACTTAGTTAGCAGCAACGTTCTGTGAGCTGTCTGCAGCTCTAACTGTGCTTTTGTAGCTCGTGTCTCCCTTGAACCTGGCGTACTGCGCTGCTATGTCTTGAAAAGACAAAAAGTCAAAAGGCAGCTTTTAAAAATCTGGTGTGTTTTTGTTTGGTTTGTTGTGGTGGGTTTTTTTCCCCACACACAATCGTTAATCAGTTTGCTTTTCAATAAAACGAGGTGACTGAAATGTTTGGCTGAACCTCTGACAGTTGTGTTTCCTGGTAAGTAAGAGCTCGGAGGTCCTGTTTATTTGCAGGGGTGAAACGACTTTGGCAGATCTGTCATGAAGAGGACTTGTTCGTCCTCTGTAATGATGCTTCATAGAAATCATTTGTATTAAGCAAGCACTGGTAATGGGAGCATAATGACCCCTTTTGGCTCTTGTTTAAATTCTTTCACTTCTAAACAGTAATATTAATCACAAGCAGATGGTGCAGAACATTATTTATGCACATTTGTTTTCCAAACCCAAAAAAATGTTTAACCCATTAACTGAAGCGGTTTATGAAACAAAAAGGCTAATTTACTGATTGGGTGATTTTTCTCCTCACTTTCAATACGTGGTAGTTGTTGACGTGACATTTTTGGCTAAGATTGTGGCTTCCTTTTTTCTTGAGGAAACCAATGCAGCTGTTGGAATTCATAGCAGATATTTGCTTAACCCCTGTGTTTGTGGCGCTGTTTAAATTCTGCTGCATGGACAGCCAGGATTTGTTCTTAGCAGGGCTTGTTTGGCTGCAGCTTGCTCAGTAGAGTCCCCAGCCTGCACAGGCTTCCCCTCCTTGATGGGCTGATGGCCAATTGCTTTTTCTTCTTTTAGCTTTATTTTATTTTTGTTCACGAAAGGATTTCAGGATCAGGCAGTGCTTAATGAATGGCAGATGTTTTATTTTTCAAGGATATCGACTTGACTCTCCCCTCCCACGTGGTAGCGGGGATGGGGAGATGGGGTCTGCAAGTCCCCAGTGACACACGGTGGTGGCTGGATGGAGCCTTGCCTCTTCCTCGGTGGGAGCAGCCCTGGTGGGACAGGGCACAAGTGTGACGTGGTGGTTTCCTCTGGTGGGTCCTACCGAGGGAACAAGGACTTGGGGGCTGCACTCAGAGACCACCCTGCCCCTTCCTCGGACATGGTCGAGTCCTTACAGAAGGAAAATTTGGCTCTGTGCGCGTTGCCTTCTCATCGCTGTCCATGAGGTCATCGTGTTTCACGCTTAGAGCTTCCACCTTCCCAGACCCTTCACTTGGATTGAAAGTATTTTTGCTTTTTTAAAAAACAGTGTGCGATCCTACGTGGGTCCCGATCCCACGAACCTATTTCCAGCCGTACGCCACTAGAACGTTACTCTTGTCCGTTTGGTTTTTAATTATTTTTGTTAAGTGCTTTACAATTAAGAGCCTCTTGATGTACAATGGTTTGCTTTCAAAAGCGTCGACTGGTGGCTCGTGGTGCAGGCTGTCCGTGCTCTCTGTTGTGTGTCATTGCATCTCTGGTTAGTTCGTTACGATTCAGCACCAGCCGTATTTAGAAAGAGGGTTAAACGGGGTTACTGTGCAACTTACTCTTCTTCTCGGGGTTCAGGATAGAGCTTGCTGATGCACTCGGTGTGTCTTGTTAGATTTAGCAAAGGCACTTGAGACCAGAGAGGAACATGCTTCTTGGTGGGTTGCCGCAAGCAAATATTTGGGTCTTCCTGAAGTTTTAGTGAGAAAACCTATTCTCAGAACGTTGGTGCAAAGCGTCTGGTTTGGCTGCGTGGATTGCTCTGGTTTATCTCATCGCCTGAGGCAGGCGAATAGGTGAAAACCCATCAAAAAAGGAGTTCTGGAAGCTGAAATAGAGATCGAGACACTCCTGACTGATTTTTCTTTTGGCTTTGGGGGCAAATTGCAAAACATATTGGCGGTATCAACACTGAGCTTAAAACATGCAAGTCTGCTTCAGTTATATAATGTACTATTGAACGCTGCCCTTTTTTAAACTGGAATTTTAGCTCAACTATAGGAAGGCATTTAATCAGCTTGTTAATTGAGGTTATACATTTCTACATTACAGACACAAATTAAGAAAGCTACTGTGGTACCAGGAAACATCTGCTAAAGAAAGGCAAACTTAATGATAAACAAAATTAGGTTCTTCTCTAGTTGGGTTTCATCCATCTGTACCCAACTAGTGCTCCCTTTTAAAGAAGGCAGAGGCGCGAGCTATTGCTTTTAATCCATTTTGACAGAAGAAAGCAGTGATTAGGCAAAGCTACTGTACTCTAATCTTCCCAAGTTTAAGCCTGGCCATAACATGCGCATTATGCTTTCCGACTGGCGTCCGTGGAACAAAAAAGATGCTCGATGTTTCCTGCGCCACAGTCAGGCTGGATGTTCAGCAGTTAATTCACACGTCGGCTTTACAGCGCGGAGCAGAACCGTACCAACTCCTCTTGGCATCGGAGGGGGTCGGCATTAAGATCTTTGCACTGACATTCTGGCTTTACGATGTACGTAGATGTTTCATTTGCTGGAGCAGGTTTAGTAATAATTTTAAGGCTTTGCTGGCAGTTAACCGACGTAAAAGCTCTGAAACCCTGAGATTGGAGCCATTCTCTGGTGGAAGGCAGTAGCTTTGGATGACGGCGTGCACAGGAGCAAAGCTGCGCCGAGTATGTTTCTAGGGCAGGAGGAGGCTTGAATGTGCTCATATGTTCGGTTTTTGCTTGTGTTCCAGACACAGGTGGTTTGTAGGATACTTGGCGTTGGTAATTTTAACAAGGCTTATTAAATTCTGCTCTTGTCACTACATGGAATTAAGTGAGGGCTGAGGTGGGGTTTTAAGAGTACAAATAGGTGGGGCTAGACTGGACCACAGAAAGTCAGCCCAGCTGGCCCTTGATACGAAAACAGGCTTCGCCGTTTGCACCGTGGCTTTTGGCTTGTTCCTGCATTATCCGGTGACAGAGTTTGTTCCCTCTCTGTCATTTCCGCTTCGTTCCGTAGTCTGCAGATCCTTTTCTGCAGACCTGCTCCAGCCTACGTTCCAGGCGGTTGTATTTATGGAGTTGATTAATCCTTGTCTAAAGTGGTGCTTCCACTTGTCCCTATTGAATTTCATCTGATTTTTTCAGTCTGATTTTCCAGTTTGTGGAGATCGCTTTGAATTCTAGGTCCCATCCTTCAGTGCACTTGCTGTGCCTCCCAGATTGGTGTCCATTGGCCTCCATCTTAAGGGTCTTTTCCAACCTAAATAATTCTGTGTTTTAATAACAGGGATTGTTGATGCTTGAGAGGTACTGCTGATAGTGTTACGAACCAGAGGTTGCATTTGAAATTTCAGTTCAGTATTGAGCACCAACGTCGGTAATGCTTTCTGTACATACGATGCAGCTCTCGGATAACGTAGATGAAATCCAGTTGATTAAGTCCAGGTCTGTTCCCTCTACAGATGTGAAGCCATCGAACATGTTGGTGAACACGCGAGGCCAGGTGAAGCTGTGCGACTTCGGGGTGAGCACGCAGGTAATTCCCCCGTAGCTCCCTGCCTCCTCTCTTTGTAACGTGGGGATCACCTGGCTGCCAGGCAGCCAGCCCCGCTCTGCTGGGACAGCCCTATTCATTTTTAATCTCCGGGCGACTTTTCTTCATCTGAATATGATTGTTCATTGTTTAATGACAGTAAAAACTGCTGATATTGTAATTACTACTTACGAATGGCAAACTTCATTGATATGCAGCCTCGATATGAAAGCGTTTTGGCCAGACAAAAGGGAGGGCAGAACAAGAGACGTGTCTGGGGAGCCCAACTGGCCCGCAATAAAAATTAATATTGGGACTAACAATAGTAGTGGTCTTTTACAATGTGCAGCACAAATTTTAATTAATTTCCATTTTGGGCCTCCCTGGAGAACTTCTCTGATAGTGACCCGTGAGCTTGCTGTGATGTTGATTTGAATTTCAGCACCTTTACTCTCAGCCAAACATGAGGACCAAAGAGAAGGTCAACCTTGTATTATAAGTTGTCAGAGTCTGTTGTCCCTCCAGCGTATTTAGTGCTCATTGCATTCAAGTGATGAATGTGGCTTTATTCACATCTTGAGCCAGCTGACTGAAAAATGAGCGCGCTCAATCCTACTTCAAATTGACTTTTTATATCAGACTAGTTTGGGGTACTAAAGCGCTAAGCATCCTGTTTAACAGAATTGTTTAAGGTTATCTGCCATAAACTGTAATGCGGCGCTCGTTTAAATTGGAACTCTCATTCCGAACAAAAGAGAGATTTAATCATTTTTAATGCCTTTGCAGATAAATTTGTTCCCTTTTACATAATTTTTAGTTGATTTATAGGAATGATGATTGTAGGTTAAATGAGGAATAATTGCCCATTTTATTTCCACATTATCTTTATATTGTTCTAACAGACTGTTTTGTCTGATAGCTGGTGAATTCTATAGCCAAGACGTATGTCGGAACAAATGCTTATATGGCGGTAAGTGGATTTATGCAGGAATAACGTTTAAGCAGAAGTATTTGTTCTGTGTAACGCGGGGTATATTCAGAACGGGCTCTCAGGCTTCATCTCTCCCTACTCCTGGCATAAGCTACATCTTAACTGCAAAAAGATCTCCCTCTGGCTGCCTCGCAGCCCCTCTCCCTTCCCACCCGCGCTCACCGCCAGCTTTGTGACAACCACGCTCCTCCCTGGTAGGGACAAGTAATACTGGAAAAAATATTTCCATCAAGTAAAGTTGCCTTTACTGTGTTGTCGCAACTGGGAACAAAGAAAAGAACCAGTTCAATGTTAAAAAAAACCAACCCGGCAGTTCTCCAGTGATAGCTCCTTGCCGAGCACTGACAGCCCGACGCTGTCCCCGGTGTGGGAACTGCTCCGAGCTCCAAGCTCGGCAAAGCTTGGAAACCTCTGCGGGCGTCTCGTGGATTCTCGATTCCAAAACGCTTGTGTGGGTGTTTCCCATGTGAAGCTGCTGTGGAGATCTGAAGCTAAAAATTTTGGGGCAGATAAGGTTAGGTGTATGACACTGCATGCTGTGTCGTCTTCGTGCCACGCGGGCATCCGTGGGTTTTGCTTCTCTAGAAATTTTTGTCAGAAACGCTTGCTATGACAAGATTACTTTTGTCCTTTTCTTGTACTTCAAAGCAGAAATTGCCGTGTTTTTTAGATCCAAGTAACCACTGCTGAAGCCATGTCTTTTAGGGGATTACTCCCCTCTTCACTGGGGTGCGAGGTTTGGCGTTCGTGGTTTTGGTGACCTGGTGACAGTAAACTATCAAAGCTGACGTGTATTTTCTGTTAGATCAGTTTGATTAATTTTAGTTCTCCTTTTAACGGATGTAAAAAAATGCTTCGGTTTAGAGCAGTTTTATTAACTCGTTGTCTTCTGGTTTTGGCCATTAAAATTCTTCTAGCCAACTACTTATATTGTAATACTAATGAAGAAAAAATAAGTGTTCAGCTTGTTTTAAAAAAAAAAAGTCTAAAAAACCACAAAGTGGTTGGTGCTTGTGTTTTTCAAACCTCAGAAAAGAGAAATCCATGACCTTTAATCTCTTTCAGGTATTTTCTCTTACTTTCTTGTAAGAAGAAAACAGACCCGGGTGTCCATTTATTTGCTAAGTGCTTTTCTAGTCAAGGCGTCCTCATTATGTGGCTTCTGAAACACTCGTGTCACCGTCCTAGACAGACTTGGGCTATCCTGTGTCATCAGAACGTTATGTGCAGAAACATGTTTAGTTTTTAAAAAAAAATCAAAGAAAAAATCTATTTCAGTACCTCCAGTTTCTAAACCAACTGGAATATTGTGATTCAGACAAATAAACAGCTTCAAATTAATCAACTTTTCCAACTCAGCTGTTACTCTTAGAGTGGTTCTTAAGCAGGTCTGGGAATTAAATTGTTTTCTGCTTTTAGTGTACAAATCAAGATTCCTGTTCTCTTTCCCAGGTGTACATTAAATAAATTAATTTTTTTATTATTTGTGGGTGAATGTGCTGCATTCATCTATTAACTGAAAAAGAGAAGTTTAAGCTAAAAACGTATTTGATCTGATTTCTTGTGTTGAAATTATTTTACTTGCTGCATGAGTCATTTATTGTCATTGAATTTTATGATCCAGTCATCAAAAAATAATGCAGGTTGTAAGCTGCCTATTTGGCAGACCGTGAGTGAATTTGAAACCATTAAAAAAATCGAGGTTTCTGTTTAAAATAAACAAGCAAAGGAGCTTTTTGATTGAGAAATTAAAATTTCCAGCAAAAATATGTTTTTCTGTAAGATCATTTTATCACCACTTTGGACAGAAAAAACTTTGGATTTAAAAAAAAAAACAGGTAGAGAAATTCTTGAGGGAAAATATTTTTGAGCTGGTATCCTTAGGATGATCTCTGTGTTTGCACACTTCAAGTACGTGTTATTCTTTTATTTTCATCTTCTTTTCCATTCTCTTCAATTCCCATGACGAGACTTTTTGTTTCCATGTGCAAATGATTTACTTGCCCCTGTCTTCCGTGAATATCTTATTTCTAAATGTGAGGTGCTCTTTCAAACGTGAGCTGTTGTAACAGAACACTATTTACTTTAATTTAATATTGCTTTGGCAGCTCAGGAAGAGCCAGGCTCTCATCTCCACTAAAAAGTTCTGCGGGTGTTACCGTGTTCGGCTGGAAAGGCAGATGTATCCGTCCTCGGGCATTTTTGGCTGCATCTTTTTGAAGGTTTTTGTCAATTTAAAAGGATGCTTAAAAATTGTTTCCCTCCGTGATGCTGTTTGAAACGTTTCTAAGCTAGGCTGACCCAGGCTAACCATACTTAATGAAGGCTAGCCTTAACGAACTTTAAAAAATAATTATTATTTTTGATCACCGTTGAGCTCAAAATAAATGAAGCTCAGGCAGAAAGATTTTCTTCCCGTTACACTCTGGGGTGGTTTTTAGGCTATGGCAGTCATGGAAGGCTCTCCTCAAAGGTAACGTGGGCAGCACCGTGTTTTTTACTTAACGTTCATGCGGCGATAAAAGCTCTTGACCTGGGATTAGCAGTGCAGAGTAAACATCCGAAAACACATTGGACTGGCACTAATTTGGGAGTTTGTTTTCTAAAAAAGGTCTCTGGATTATTAAAGACTAAAAATACAGCCAGTGCTTCGTAGGTGGTTGGGCTAGACAGGTGCATTAACAGCACAGTGGGGAGAGAAGTCTCCTGGAGCCTTTTATTGTTACATTTCATGCTGTACTTGACCTTGGAAATGCTTAAATTGTAGCTTTCAAGTAAAAACTAGCAGTTATATTTTACAACATTCTATTTCATGAGGCATTAAACTTGCTATTAATAGTTTTGAGTGAGGTTTTTTTTTCTATAGGTCAAAAATGAAATTAAGAAGTATATTAAATAAAATAGCTGGCACGTGACTTGGTTGGTTCTCTTGGCTTCAATAACTTTTGCTTTTTAAACCGTAGTTACTCCCCAAGCCCTTGACTCAACGTTAGGAGTCTGGTTTCCTGGTGTTACCAGCAGACGTACGTACCTGAGGACTTGCACGACCCGACCTCGCGCTTTGCTGCGCCCGTGCAAGCCGTTGGCTTTTTCTTGTCGGGTCAAACAGCCCAAACACGGGTGCCAAAGCCAACTTGTCAAGGTGCAGAGCAGTGCGCTGGTTTGGAAGGCTCAGGAAAATGTTTCTGTCTCTTTGCAGCCTGAGCGGATTTCAGGAGAACAGTACGGAATCCATTCGGACGTTTGGAGTTTGGGGATTTCCTTCATGGAGGTATGCAAATATCTGTCATTTTCATGTGCGTGTTGCAAGAATCAAAATGAAATCAAACGTCAAAATACTTCAATGTTGTCTCTGTATGCTCTTTCATATGTGCATGCTTTTAACTTTTTACATGTAGGTGTGTGCTCGGGGACACGGGTTAGTGACAGTCCTGGCAGCGCTGGGTTAACGGTTTCACTCGATGATCTTAAAGGTTTTTTCCAACCTGAACAAGTCAACGTTTCAAACTATGGCTAAATTTCTTGGCTGTATTTAGAATGGATTGGTTCCAACTGCGTTCAGTTTGGTTAGATACAAAGAGAATGTGGTCGGTCAGGAGAAGCCGTGCTTTCTGCAGGTCTAGCCAGAACAAAATCCATTTCGATTCGGGAAAAAGGTTATTGTTTTTCAGCTTATGATTTGTAAGACATTTAAAGAGACAGGACAGTCCCATGAAGGACCTTCCCACTGCTTGAAACAATTGATTCTGCCTGTAAGAACAGTTCATTCAGATGATGGCTTGTGTCATCTTTCTTGGACAGCTTGACAAAGGCATGGTATGATCAACCGAAAAATGTAGGTGCCCTTCTCTTCTGGTGTAATATACCCTCATTAAAGTGAAGCCGAATGTACCCTTTGGTGCAACAGATCTTTTTAGCAGAAGATCAGACCAAAGTTAAGTGGTCTTGGTGCTGGCTCTCTGCATCTAGGCAAAATGTTCACATTTTGTAGCTTGGAAGTTAACCGAGACTGTTGTTACGTTTTCAAGCAATCAGTTCCTTGCCAAATCGGTTTTAACCAAAATGAAAATCCTTAATGCCGAATTATTGTGTTCAGATCTTGTAAATCTTTGCCAGAGTCAGATGTGAGCTAGCTCAGAATTACAATGCTGACATACTTAGCGTGTCACAGGGGATGCAGTTCTCTTAATTTGTTTTAGTGCGGATTTTAATGGTTTGTGATGCTGGAGAGCTCTCACAATTTTGGAAGAGAACGTGCTCACATGCTCTGTAAATGAGTCGAGCCAACAAAGGACTAAAATGAGATGGTATTGCATTAAGACTTGATGGTGATTTTTTCCTGACTTGCGGTGGAATACAGCGCTGTAAGTGCCAAAGTCCTACAGAGCAAGCTTTTGCCAGTTCCTTTGCTGAATCGAAAATGTGTTTTGATGAGCAGCAGCGATCTAATGATCTACATGTAGAGCAAGATATTGGAGTTTAGCTCAGGGGTTTTAGTAGGTAACCTGTGTGATGGTGAGTTTGATTTGAAGGATGAATTTTGGATTACATTAGCCAACATTAGGAAAACTCTTTAGTTTGCGTTTACTCGCCTCTTTTACACCTTCTCAACTTCTTTTTCCCTTCTCTTCTCCCTTTCCACGAGTGTCTTCTGAACCAGACGTACAAAAAACCAAGCGCTTTGTTAATTGGTATGTCAGCTGGTCCTCCGAGACCTCTCTTCAACGTGATCGCTGTTTTGTTGAAGTGGTTTGAGTGATGTGTTAAATGATGAAAGCAAGGACAGTGGCTTAGAAAAATGTCTCGAAAAGGGTGAAGAAGATGCTCTAAGAGCCACACAAGGTCACTGTCATTAAAGTAACACTGTATTGACAGGGGGATTGGTACAGGAGACACCCAGGCTCTTGTTGATGGAACTGTTAAAAAGGGAAGTTAGAATTTGCTGTAGGATTTTAAAATCATCTCCGTTTAATGCTCCAATGCCTGCAACTCCAACCTAGCACAGTTACACCATGTTAATTTAAAGGAAAGGACGTGGGACCAAGCTAGCAAAGGCTGCTCTGACATATGATAATACGAAATAATAGCTACGTAAATCTTCTTGTTGTCTTTAATATTCTTCTGAGCCTTTGAAATGTCTCAATTTCTTTTCTTTTTGCTGCCAAGCTATGCATAATGAGGAACTGAACTGTTACTTTTGAAGGGTAAGAAAACTGCCCCCCAAAAAATTTGCTAGCAGTGTGTGAAAAGTGTTAGAAGTGGGTGCCACCTGAGTTTTGAGATAGTGAGCATTCAAGTTCCTTTTGGAGTAAGAGATGTCTGAGGGTGCTCGATCTTCCCTTTGTCAAAAATAAAAAAAAAATACAGAATTATATTAAAAAAAAAAAGTAGAAATTCCACTAGCTTTTTTATTACTATTCTATAATTTTTTTGAGTTTGCATTTCTTTCTTCAGGATTTTTCGCAGTGAATTAAATTGAATACATAGTCTCTTAAAACGGTTTAAGTCTTTCAGGGTAAACAGTTCATGTGTTTTCAGGAGATTTTTTAGGTGTTTTATTTAAGTGCTCTGGGGTTGACAAAGCAAGTTCAATTTAAACTGACGACATTGCTGTCACTCCGCTGAAGACTGTGTCAGCATTTTCATTTATAAAAGCTGTTTTTCAGGAGTTTATAACTCAGTCATAAACCGCACTGCAGGCTGACCGAGCTGGGTGCTGGGTGCGCTCTGTAGCCGGTTCAGTCTCCATCCAAGAGCTGGACCCTGCACGGGAGACGAAATTAAATTACCTGATGTTTCCCATCGCGCTCCAACACAACCCTACTCCTGCCTTGCACGGCTGCTAGCCCACAGTGAACTTCAAAGCATCCAAAACGGGATAAAATACATGTCATTGGGGTTTGATGGGCGGCTTTCTTGACCCTTTTTGCGGAGGTGTCGGAGGAGGAGGTGTGCCCAGAGCTGAGCTGCTGCTCCTGGGGTCAGAGGCTGCTGTGTGAGACAAGACGCTGGGTGAGAATAGCTCTGGTGGAACCCTGCAGGGCTGATGTGTTCTCGGGTACTCGTCCTTCCATGGAGGCTTGCTTCTGGGTTTTCTTTTTTTTTGATTTTACCACCTCAAAGCCTCCTGCTGAGGAGCGCGGGCACGTTCTCGAGACGGTACTGAGGGACCAGATTCTCTTACGTGGCGACGGTAGGTGGGGGGAAGAAGGGAGCTTTGGGAAAGGAAGGGAAGGGAATCCAGTTGTGATCCGAGCTGCTCGTTGAGGCAAAGCGTGGACTTGCAGATCTCTGCCAGAACATCCAGGGTTCATTTTATCTACAGATAGAGTCGGTAGCATGTTATACTGAAATGCAGGAAATCAAGGGGATTTGCTTATGCTACAAACCAAGTAGGTGCTGGAAGAAAGAGTATCAGCCCGTGTGCTTGTCTAATGATAGTTTTTTGGATCCCCTTTTGTATCACATCCTAATATCTACTTCCACTGTCCTCTGCTGGGAAAAACAGCTACTTTCCTGTATTTCAGGCCTCCTTTAACTTTTTTTTTTGCAGAGATTATCAGTGTTCGCTCCTTCAGGGAAAAAGGAGTTTGTGTATCAATTTCAACGTTAGAAAAAGTTCTTAAGACCCCTAAAATGAGAATTTAAAGTCTTCAGTCACGAGAGTTCTCCGTTATCTGTATATTTGCGAGAACTTTCAAAGGTTGCCGGTTTGTGACATGTGGGTTAAGATGCTGTTTTGAGCGGCATTTCGACAGACGGATTTTCAGCAGTTGTGTGCGTTCCCACATACAGGAGCATCAGCATATATCCACCACACACACTTTACGTCGTGTCTTAGGGGCACACGTATGTATCTGCCGAGTGGGCTTAACGCTGAGTCAGCCTGGTGGAGTCTTAGACTCTTCAGCACACGTGGGCTGGGAGCTGCGACGGAGATGAAGAGGAGCTCACGTACACCACAAAGGCAAAGAGGAGGAAGATGCTTGAAGAGGGTGCTACAAGAGGAGCAGCTCTGCTTTGAGATGGTTCTCTTGAAGCACTTCAATCTTTAAGATGTTTCACCACATAAAAGTGGTGTAAAGACTCGGTATCCGGTGTCTGGTCAAGGAGGGGAGGTTTCAGAAGCACTCTTGAAGGAGTCTAAAAATTGTCGTCAGTCACTTACCGTCGCTTTGAAGTGAGGAAGGTTGCGAGCTGATCTGCAGGAAGTTCTGCAGGCCACGATTTCGTCTTCTGCAGCATTTCCCTTATATGTGGGTGTTATGGTTGGTCTTTCATCTGCTTTACACCCTTACCCAAACAATTGCGCGTAGTCAGGTAGAGGCCAGGAGGAATCTGAGACCCGAAGCTTGGTGGTGCAACGTAGTTTCTGGAGTGGCACTGGTGAAGGTTTGTTGGAAAAAACGCTTGGTGAAGGTTTGTTGGAAAGTACCATCATGATGGGCCAGCTCTGAACGTGACTGCTGGAGGTAGGCACGGACCACGCAGTGACCTGCAGTGTGAAAAGCTGCGGTGATTAGAGGCAGAAGGAATATTAATTAAAATAGCCCATTAGAAGACGGCAAAGGGTCAAGCTTAAAAGGAAAATGACAATTTGCGTTTGGTAAAAGACATCTTTTGCCTAGGATTAAGGAAAGCAAGAACATACGTGGAGGTTGGCAACAAGCATCACCCTATTAGCCTGTATTTTTAGAGACTGTCGTAGTGTGATGTTTGTGACTTGGATGGACAAAGGCCGGGTTGGATGGGGCTTTGAGCGATCCGGTCTAGTGGGAGGTGGCCCTGCCCGTGGCAGGAGGTTGGATCTGGATGATCTTTGAGGTCCCTTTCAGCCCAACCCTTTCTATAATTCTACGAAGTCCTTGCAGGCTTCACTCAGCCGTTGAGAGTGGCTGTAGCACACACGGAATTTTGCTCAGTAGCTTGAATTCTTCATATCATAGAATATTTAGTTTTAATAATTCTGGACAGAGTGGTGCCTTTCAGAAACTTGTTCTTAGGAAAAAGCTGGCCTAGATTTTTAAATTATTTTTTTTTCCCCTTGAGCTATTTTGAGCGATTTCCCCAAGCAGCGGCCGTTAGCTCCATATCCTCGTCTGCCACCTTCGGCGGCCACGAGGATGAAGCCGACATCCAGCGACGTCACGATCTTTGTGGTGGCGGAATTAGAAGTAAAGGTACCAGTGCCTGAGGGTTGGGTCATGAATTAATAATGGCTGTGTGGTGGGGGAGGCCCCTCGGAATCGCTGGAAACGGGGAAGTTGCCTC